GAAGACCCGGCGCGGACCGCACAAAAATGCCCCGCGGCCGCACCGAGGAAGGGAAGAAAATGATNACTTAACCTGCTGACAGTTCAAACATCGAGCCACATATGCAACAATATCTTTCTTCATCCTACGCCACCAATAAAGCTGCCGCAAGTCCTGATACATCTTCGCGGCGCCCGGGTGAATAGAATACCGAGAACTATGGCCCTCCGCTAAGATCAACTCTCGAATCCCATCGACATTGGGCACACAAACTCGTCCCTGCAATCTCAAAACACCATCATCATCTAAGGTCACCTTCGTGGCACCTCCACGCTGCACCGTGTCTCTCAGGACACACAAATAGGGATCATCAAACTGCCGATCACGGATACGCTCCAATAGAGAAGAACGAGCAACCGTACAAGCTAACACTCTGCTAGTCTCAGAAATGTCCAACCTCACCAATCGATTGGCCAAGGCCTGAATATCCAAAGCAAGCGGTCTCTGGCTGACCGGAATATAAGCAAGGCTACCCATACTGGCGGACTTCCTACTCAATGCATCGGCCACCACATTGGCCTTACCCGGGTGGAATAAGATAGTAACATCATAATCCTTCAGCAACTCCAACCACCTCCTCTGCCTCAGATTCAACTCCTTTTGCTTGAACAAGTGCTGAAGACTCTTGTGATCGGTGTACACCTCACACGTCACACCATATAGGTAATGCCTCCAAATCTTCAAAGCATGAACTATGGCCGCCAACTCTAGATCATGAACCGGATAATTTCTTCTCGTGGATCTTAAACTCCCTCGAAGCATAAGCAATGACTCTGCCATCCTGCATTAATACTGCACCAAGTCCAATACGGGAAGCATCACAATAAACTGTATAAGGCCCTGAGCCTGTGGGTAAAACCAATATCGGTGCCGTAGTCAGAGCTGACTTGAGCTTCTGAAAGCTCGCCTCACACTCGTCTGACCATCTGAACTGGGCACCCTTCTAGGTCAACCTGGTCATCGGGGCTGCTATGGATGAAAACCCCTCCACGAACCGACGATAGTAGCCTGCTAAAACCCAAGAAACTCCGAATTTCAGTAGCTGATGCTGGTCGAGGCCAGTTCTTGACTGCCTCAATCCTCTTCGGGTCCACCTGAATACCCTCTGCTGATACAACATGACCCTGAAATGCGACCGAACTTAACCAGAACTCGCACTTCGAGAACTTAGCATACAACTGACTATCCTTCAGAGTCTGAAGAACCACCCTAAGGTGCTGCTCGTGCTCCTCCTGGCTGCGGGAGTACACCAAAATATCATCAATAAAGACTATCACGAACGTGTCCAAATAAGGGCAGAACACTCGGTTCATCAACTCCATAAATGCGGCTGGGGCATTGGTCAACCCAAACGACATGACCAGGAACTCATAATGCCCATACCGAGTACGGAAAGCTGTCTTAGGGACATCGGATGCCCTAATCCTCAACTGGTGGTAGCCAGATCTCAAGTCTATCTTGGAAAACACCCTCGCACCGTGAAGCTGGTCAAACAAATCATCAATCCTCGGCAGTGGATACTTGTTCTTAATCGTCACTTTGTTCAATTGCCGGTAATCAATGCACATCCTCATAGATCCATCCTTTTTCTTCACAAATAACACTGGCGCACCCCAAGGAGAAACACCAGGCCTGATAAAACCCTTCTCTAGCAAATCTTGCAACTGGTCCTTTAACTCCTTCAACTCTGGCGGGGCCATGCGATACGGCGGAATGAAAATGGGCTGAGTGCCCGGAGCCAGATCAATACAAAAATCAACATCCCTGTCGGGCGGCATGACCTGGGGTCCCTCTCCACTCCAATCGGGGCAAATCCGGCAAAGCCAAGGTCACGGTCTTGACGTGACAATCCAAGATAGCATGATACGGGGACAACCAATCCATCCCTAATATAACGTCGAAATCCACCATGTCCAAGAGCAATACACGGGTCTCAAGACCCTCAAACACTACCACACAGGAACGATGCACTCGGTCGACCACTATAGAATCACCCACCGGTGTAGATACATGAACAGGAATACTCAAAGTATTACTAGGCATGACCAGGTACGGTACAAAAATAGGACGACACATACGAATACGTAGACCCAAGGTCAAATAGCACTGAAGCATCTCTAATACGAATCAGAATGGTACCTGTAATGTCTGCATTTGAAGACTCAGCCTCTGGCCTGGCTGCTGGCTGGCCTCTACCTCTGGCGACCAGAACTCCACCTCTATGACCTCTACCTCCACCCCTAACACCTCTTCCACTGCCTCTAACTGGTTGGGCAGGCTGAGGAACCTCCGGTGCCCGAATCCTGGTACGAGAACTCTGATGCTGAGAGCTGCTCAAAGCTCGAGGGCAAAATCTGACAATGTGCCTCGGATCACCACAAGCATGGTAAGACCTTGTCTGCTGCGGCTGAGCACCCCTCAACCTCGGGCAAACCCTCCTGTTGTGACCATACTCACTACACTCATAACATCTACACGAACGGTGCAGCTGAGGAAACTGAGGCTGACCCTGTCGACCTGAATGACCACCTGAAGTACCATGAGCGACCTGGGGAGCTGACTGAAAGGGCCTAGGAGGATGGCCTCTACCATAAGAACCTCTACCTCCGGGCGAGGTACCACTGAATCTGCCTGCATGACATGGCCTCTTATCCGACCCATGACCACCTCCCTGTGGCAAAACCCTCTCAACTCTATGGCCCACATCGGCCGCCTCCTGAAAGGTGATCTCACTCCCGGCCTGAGCCACTGTGCCCGGCTGACCTACCACCGCTGGCTGAACTCCTGGAAGCAAACCCGCTCGAATGACGCTCTCCACGAAGCCTACCAATCGGACTAGAGCGTCCTAAAGAACTGGGATGGCAATGAACCCCTCTGGGACCCGAGCTGGGCCCACCGGGTCTGCTGGGGCGGGAACCTCCTCCTCCAAATAGACCTGAGGCTCCGCCACTGGAGCTGCTGCTGGGGGCTCGGATTGCTGAGCGGTAGATGAAGAAGCGCGTGTTCTCGCCATCTGCGGAAGAACAGAGTAGAATTTCAATCGGTACTTGAGAAATAGAACCGCATGACAAGAAGGAACAAATGTGAAACTTTCCTAACTCTGCAGCCTCTGGGGGATAAATACAGACGTCTCCGTACCGATCCCTCAGACTCTAGCGAGTTTGTCCGTGAGTAGTGAGACCTATGTAACCTAGTGCTCTGATACCAACTTGTCACGACCCGGATGTCCCACCCTCGGGGGTCGTGATGGCGCCTACTAATGAACGCTAGGCAAGCCACTTAATTACTCT